CTCTTGTTAAACTTTTAGCATACACTGGTCACAACTAAGCTGGAGTATGCATCAGTGATATAAAACCCTCATCAAAGCTTTTTAATTAATAAACTGGAAGCTGTCGAAAATCGTGCTACTCGTTTTATCACTCGTGCAGTGCCTTTTTATAGCCGAACCCAGGTGGCAGGTCCAGCCAGCAGTGACGTCATGTGATGTCATAACCGATACAGTAACTACACTAGGAATAGCATCAGTACATATCCCTGTAAACTCTTGACATTCGTAGAAAAATAGATCGACTCTCTTTCATGCAGATATTGCACTATAACCCGTGGTCTCGCCAAACCTGTATTTCCCCGGTCCATTATATTTCCTCTCGTCTCGACCACCCCTGAAACGTTGAACCCATTTTTTTTCGAAAACCAACACATTCAAATGATCACCTATTTCATTATGCATAAGGGATTGGAATAGCTTATACCCACAAGCTTGGCAACTACCAGTGACCATAAATGTTATTTGCAGCTGATTGCTAAAATGTTTGAATAGTGTTTATATAGTGATGTTTCCAAAGCTTTCCTTCATTTTTTTAGTGTTTTGTTGTCTTTTTTGTTTTGAGCCATGGATATGGCACCCCCCTCTGTAATGCCTCCTTCAGGAGGCCCTGAAGGTAATACAAATGAAATTAAATGAAACTACATTTTAACTGTAGGATGTACCGCAGCGAAGGTGTGCACGCCCGAGCTTAACGCTCTTTTTTTTCAAAATGAACCAAATACAGAAACCAAAACTAAGCCCATTTTTCGCATTGTTTCAACTATTAAGCTCAACAATACTTGAGTGGGGGTGAGTTGGTTGTTCATCATTGAATTTAAACTGCACTGGCAGGTAGTCAAAGGCAACAAAACTGAGACAATGGAAAAACTACATCGAACACGAGAAGCTCAAACTGACAACTGCTTATTTCCTTCCATCGCACAGAAAAGGAAAACACTTTCAAAAACAAAGTGTAAAAGACGGGATGAAAGAAAGACAAAAGTGCGTGAAGCAAAAACACCAGAGATATATAAACGATTACAGACATGACTATGCTTGATTCTTCGCTGTGCCACCGCTATCTACGCTGGCGTCCAAGTGACCACCTAGCTCTTCGTAATTTACGACCTTTTGTGACTGAAATGTTTTTTAATGCGGAAGCATTATATGTCCCATGGAGTGAACCGGTGTTATCAGGTCGTGAAGCCGCACCAAACGGAACATAAACTACCCTGTTCCCATGGAGCCAAGCCTGTCGTCCATCTGATGGATAGACTCCCATTGTCTGGCGCGCGTCATAGCTTCAAGGAACGAGGCTCCCATTGGCTGCCGTGCGGCGTAGATCCAAGGACCACCCCCAGAGAAGGCCTCACCCTGCCGGCGCAGCGGCTGGCCGCAGTGCCAGCAGAACCCGCACGTGCGAACTCCGGAGTGGCTACACGGCCGAGCTCAGCGCGCCGCGGGCACTTCACGAGTGTGCGCACTCGGCCGTCGGGAGGCGCAAGCGGATCGCGATTCGAAGCGTCCCAGGCGGCAAGAAGACGAGGCCCTTCGACACTGCGAGGCGGAAGCAATACGTCGCAGGCGGCATGCTTTCGCATTAAGAAATCATAATAAATGCTTAGGTGTCCTCGGACTTGTTTTTAAGCAATATAATTTTTATATTTGTTTATACTATAACTTGGTCGATGACATGTAAAATATAAAGTGATTCAAAAATTGTCACCCAACAGCTGTTGGAGATTTCATACTTCAGTAGCGTGGTGTAAACATCACCCGGTGTGCCATGGCATTACAAGCGATGGAACCTAGCTTTCCACATCTTCACTCCACCGATTGCCAAATGTTGGGGCATACGATTCCTAACGTCTGCTGTTCGTATGCTCCGTTTTACCTTACAATGGACCACAGACGGCGCTCCGAGTCGTACAAGTCAATTCCATGTTGTGTGAGTCATGTGACCTTGGAGAGGGGCGCACTGACGCGTTGTCACTTGATATTCTAAATTGGCTGAGATACGTTGTAAAGCCCGCTACAATCCACCGTAATTACAAACGGGGTATGGTGATGTATAGATAAATGAATCGAATCTTGTTGTCAACAGGTTACACACGTTAAAATACTACCCCTAGTGGCTTCCTTAGGTGCCGCTAGGAGTGCAAGTTGTGGTAAATTGAGGGGCTGAAAGATGAAGCTGTATATAGTCTTGCTCTAGACGTTTTTGTTACAGCCAGTGTGCGTGTTTTCTTGAAGGCACAATTGCGTGGCTGCTTGAAATGCTGAGCACCATTGGCTGGCTCTGTTCATCATGAAATTATTTACCACCAAGACGACGATGCCATGCATGCCTGCACATTAATATAAAATGAATTCAGGTTGATGTGACCACTACATTTGATTTCATTTTTATTTTTCAAGTATACTTCAGAAATAGTTTGACATCTGACTTGCAGTTGAAGCGGCTTGAAGGAAAGCCGGCATTTTTATATACTTAAAACTTGCCAGTTATGGTGTTCGGGAGCGAGGCCTTGGTGAAGTGCTGTCTTTCCGGTTCGGGACTTGGCATGCGACTAAATTTCTCTAAAGAAGAAATCGCAGGATAATATTGCAATGAAAGTTAACTAGAGCAAATACTAAGCCTCCTACACACACAGCGAAAATTACACCCCTGGACGTGTAAACCGTTGTCCCAGGGCGGACTCCCCAAATGGTGTTCGTTTTACACGGGATGCTCGGTGTACTTCGTTTGCACCCGAGGTCTCGTGTAAAATGAACATCTTTGAACGTGTACTTTGTTCTGCGATCACACGTCTAGGGGTGTTTTTTTACAATGGCAGCCGTTTGACGCAAGACGGGTTCTGCGACCGAGGCCCAGCGCTTTACACGGCTTTTCGCCGCAGCGAAAGCGTAGTTTGCACGTGTTCGTTCGTAATCGTCCATGCGTGCTGAACTACCGCAAGCATTCACCCCCAAGCGCCGACGCCGTATCCATTACGGCGATTACGCGACAGTGGGAGCGACCATCGACTGCATCCAGCAGCGTGTTTCCCCATCGAGCAGGTCTCGTTCGCGTGGCGGTTCAGCCGATCGCCGAGGCCTCAAGCCGGTTGCATTGTCACCGACGCCGGGTAATTTCCACAGGAGTTATCTTTTCGCGACCACAGACATGAACTTTATTGAAAAAGCCCGTTTGCCGTGAGCGACGACGAATAGCTCCGACACCGACCCGATCCGACCCTACCCGACCGGCATTACCGACGTCCCGCTAACCTCTTTCCCGCGAGCAAAGTTGTTCGCGACGTTTCGACGTATCCACTCATATCTCGTGTGTACGCAAATTTTGCGGCTTTCCGGGTACGAATCGGCTACCGAAACGGCCAGCGAACGAAGACGAACTGAACGCCGGCGCTATGCGCCATTTAAACACGCGGCTACTTTTCTACTGGACTGTAGCTATGTGGTGTGGTTCCTTACACATAAATGGACTATGTACGAACAAAGCTAAAATAAAACTGGGCGGCTGCTTGCGCCACCTAGTGAGTATACGAAAGACTACAAAAATAAGACATTTTGGCATTTCTGGAAGTGACTCGCTCGAACGGTCGGCGGAATACCAACACATGCATCACAGCATATACCACAAGATCAACATACAAGCATGTACATAGACAAACATCGAACAGAGGCACTAACAACCCGACACTCCTACTCAATTACAATAGAAACCCGCTCGGTATATATAGCAGACTTTTTGTTTTAGACGAAGGTCCGGTGACCGCCCCCGTATTTTACATGAACGTAACGATATTACACAATTATTACTGATATAGTACGGCGACATAAATATAATTTGGGAAGGTACATATTTCTCTTAGTCTAGATTATGGCTAAAAGACACCCTATATTAAAAAAAAGATGTTTCGAGCTAGCCAAAATGTAGCAAAATCTGGTTTCGTTTTCGGAAGTTCGAGTGCTCAAGGCTGGAATGCGCTAGCGAAGTGTGTGCTTGCTTCTGTCAAACTATAATCCATTGTATGACACTCTCAAAGCTGCTGGCTGTAGCCCCAGTCTTGGTTTAGGGTTTGATTTACACGCGCTCTCTTGGAAATGAAATTATGCGCGCTCGAGTCGATATTATTGACAGCGTGAAGTATAAACCGAATGTAAACGATTTTGCGAGCGACGAGAAAAGCGACGGCGACCCGCTTCCCTGACGCTCGGTCACTCGCGCGACGACTTAAGCCGCATGAAAGCGGAACGATGTTTTCTAGAAATCCCAAAACCGAGTGACGCGACGAGCGATAGTAAGAAATCTTCGTAACCCCCATGAAAATGGTTAATGCCATTTGAAAGTCATATTATTGCCAAATGGCAACAGCTGTTTACAAATAGTCAATCAGCAGGCAACAGATGTTGATCGTCATTGAGACGTCACCCTGCTGACCCGGATAGCCATTTCGCCACCGTCAACTTTTTGCCGTTCTATTGGTTATTGTCGGTGTATCATCAGTGTATCTACATGTTAACGTTAAATGGTTAAAGGAGGCAATCAAAGGACTATACATTTTATAGTCTTTTGACTGCCTCCAATAGCCAATTAGCATTAGCATGGAGATACACTGGCAATGCACCGACAATAACCAATAGAACGGCAAAAAGTTGACGGTGGCGAAATGGCTATCCGGGTCAACAAGATGACATCTCAATGACGATTAACATCTGTTGCCTGCTGATTGACTGCTCTTAAACACCTGCTGCCATTTGGCAATAATACAAAATGGCATCAACCATTTTTATAAGGGCATAATTATCACATAGACGTCATTTGATCGAATTTCGTGACCATTTCGCCATTGTCAACCCCTCGTAAACTTTAAGCTGGCCAGCCGAAAAACTGCAATAGTTTACATGGCCTACCATTGATTCCATGCCTGATACACATAGTGCCGGCTTGCAATATGGGAAGAAAACAAAGATTGAAGGACAATTTAAAGACCCAAAATTTATTTATCACAATGTCATTAAAATGACGTGTTTTTTTTCAAGACTAAGTTAATCACCCAAATGTAAACGATGAGTAAAAAAATAACCTTTCCTTGCTTCCTGACATGTCTGTAAGGTGTCAGCTGAAAGAAGAAAAACATTATAAATTAAGTGGGCATATAACCAGAAATATTCTTGCAGCACATTCAAAAATATGCACAGAAGAACCTTGCTCACATGTTTTCTCGGCTGTTATGTTCACGGAAACCGGTCCTATCGAACGTCCAAAAGTATATATGTGTTAGAATTACAGGCTTCATGAATTTCCTTCTTGGTTCTTATGCCCAAACACTGCCACTCAAGGTGGCCGGCATGACTACTAGGAACACATACCCTGTTCCTTTTGCTTTACTCCCTTTATTTTACCTCCTTGCCTCTCTGCACTGTGTTTCTTGCTTGGTCCTGTATGACAATAAGAGATTCAGGCTCTCACGACACCCCATTTTTCTTTACCACCTCCATGCCACCATGTTCAAGCAGTGCTGATTGCATCAAGCCCCACTGCTTTGATGTGGCGTGCAGGGTGCAGTGATTTGTTTGAGGCAGCTGTGGTTTAGCTCGATGGGCTCAGAATTTTTGCATCCTCATATTTCAATATTTTTTTAACTGCAACTATAGACAACGCATCACTGCGATGGCGCGGCTGTCGGCACGGCACATGTACACACATGTCTGCTCACACGAATCTAGTTCCTGCGTATGCAGTGCCCATAGCTGCTGTGGGCAAACACAAGCTTGTCTGTAAACAGTGTGTTACTTATAGTTCAACCACAATTTTAAGAAGTGTTGAAAAAATTGTTAACATTTAAAATAAGGCAATCTTTTTTACAGCCATAAAAAGCTAAGGTAAGATAAACAGAGAATACAGCTTCCTGAAACATCTATAGCTATCCCAAGGGCATTATCAGTTGTTACATCTTCGCTCATGTCATGATCCTTTATTGTGACTGCATAAAGATGCAGCAGCAGGGTTCTACTGTATTTCACACAATGTTTGAATGTGCGATAGCTTTGACTTCCACAACACATCAGCCAACCACAGGTTGTCAAAATGTCAACTCCACAATGATGTAATAAGTATGAATACAATAATAATCCCTGGAAAAGGGGTACAAGGGGGAGAAAGGTCAAAGAGGAATCTCCTTTGTCCCCTTGTTCCCCATTTTATTTGATGTGATTATTATCATCATTCTTGTCTCGAATAAAAGGGTCTACTCGTGTCTCTTAAGAGAGGGAAGCAGCTTACCTGAAAGAGCATAGCGCCCCCGGGACAGAAATCGAGAGGCTGTCCTCGACTTGCATCCCCACATTGCTGTACTTCGTGAAGGTGCGAGCTGAAAGAGCAAATGAGAATTGCAATTTAAAATGATAATAGCCCCTAGAAAGCTACACTCAAGTATTGGTACCCTTTTCCTCATTGTCCAGTTCTGCCAAAACAGTCATTCATCCATTTGGATGGTGAAATTCGTTCATGCGCATGCAGCTTGTGGGCACTGCCATGTTGTTATTGCGTCATTACTTGAATTTAATGTAAATATTCACTTCACCTTAGACAAAGATTTATCTATTACTTTTGATAAGATCTTTGGATGCTTGCCAATTTTAACAGCAGCCTGGGGGGCGCACTCATAGATGCACCACTCTTCAATCAGTTTGGGGAGTGTGTCTATAAACGCTCACTCTTTTTATCGTACGGGAGGAAGCACCATCTATCCCCTAACATCGGAAATAATTTTCCTTTAGAAATTAAAGCTATGATGGTAGCACAAGAAAAGTTTCGTACAAAAAAATATAGGCAAAATAGGGACAAAAAAATTTTTTTTTGGTCATGGGTCCCCAGTCAAGGGGTCAAGAAATAGATTAATCTCGTGTGTTAACATTTTTTTCAAAGCAAAAACATGACAGGACTATGTTATCAATTGTATAGCTCTTTTTACTGTGGTCATAATGAGGTGGCATAGCCTTTGTCATTTGGCCAATAATGTTCAACAAACACAAAACTAAAACAAAAATTCTCGCAGACCAAGAGCCATTACTACATGCAGTGCAAGTTTTGAGGGTAAACATTTTGGCAGAGGCCTGCCTGGTCGGGAGAAAGCTTAAAAACTCAAAAACATCCGTCCACACACCCGCATCTGTGTTCCCTACATAAAGGGGACTAGCGAAGCGCTGTCATGTATGCTGGTAAAAGAAAGTATTCAGGTGTCCCACAAACCGGTATCAACACTTTGACGTATGATGCTGCGAATTAAAGGTCATCCCTCGAAACAAAGAGCGCAGGGCATTGTATATTCAAGTCCATGCCACCTACATTGGAAAAAAAAGAACTTCCCAGAAAGAATTCAACAACACAAAAACAACTGCAAATTCGACCACGAGCGCAGCGCTGTTGCAGAGCACTGTGAGGACAATGAATATCGCATCAACTTTGCCAACACCCTCATAAATGTTGAGACAAACTTCTGCCAGCAGCTTTTAGAGCGCAGCTCTTAGGGGCCCGTTTCCACCCTGAGCGGCGTCGGCGTCGCCGTCGGCGTAACCGCGCCCCTCCCTCTCCTCCTCCTCTTCCCCTCCTTCTCCTCCTCCCCTCATTGTGTAGTATGGTCCGGGCGGGTCACGTGACCTTGGGGGGAGGGGGTCACATGACCCGTTTCCAGCCTGTGCGGCGTCGGCGTTGGCGTAGCCCCTCCCCCTCCTCCTCCCCCGCCCAGGTCACGTGACCCCGGGGGGTGACTCCCCTCCCCCCGCCTAAGTCACGTGACTGCCCGCCCAAGGTCATGTGATCCCGTCCCCTCAAGTCACGTGACCCCCCAGACCTCTGCCCTCCTCCTCCCCCTCCTCCTCCTCCCCTCATTGTCTGGTTCGGGGGGGTCACGTGATTTCGGGGGGAGGGGGTCACATGACTTCAGCGGCGAGGAGGAAAGCAGTACGAAGGTGGAGGAGGGGGGAGGAGAGACGAGGAGGCGGAGGCGAGGGGAGGAGCTTGAAGGACGAGGAGGTGGTAAAGGAGAGGGAGGGGGAGCAGGAGGGGAGGAGGACTAGCAGGCATGATCACGAGGGAGGAGGAGGAATACACCCTCCACTCCTCCTCCTCAAGAGCTGCGCTCCAATTCGGCGTTACAGGAAGTTGTAAACGGCTTTCACTTTTTATCCAGATTTGCAGTCCTTGCAGTACACCCCTTTTGCAAGACGCATAACAAACGATTGTTCCCAGGTAGCACGCCAAAGAAACGCCAAACTCGGGCAAAGGTGTAGCAAACCTAAGTGCCTTACTTGGGCTCAGTTAGGTTTGGGTCCATGGCACTTTTCAGTGCCAAAGTACGTTGCCGGACTATAGCCCTAGTTGGGCGGTCCCAGGGCATGCCAAAGTTTGACTTTTTATAGTCATGGCATATCCAAACAACACCAGGAAACATCAATAGGTCCACTGGCACATTGCCATCATGCTACGTGAACAAACTCAGCCACCTAACGAAGTGAAAAAAAAAGAGACTATCGGAGAAGAAAACAAAGCTGTTGTCCCCTATCTGGAAGCAGTCACCCCTGAAGAAAAAAACAAGCTGTTTTTGAAACGTTGGGACCTTGTTGTAGGATATGGTTGGTGATTTTTTTCAAATTCCAATGTATGAGTTTTGCATTTGTTTGAGTCATCATTCACTTTTTTAGCATATTTACCCGCATAATGAACACACCTCTTTATTCTGAAATTGACATATATTTCGGGGGTGCGTTCATTATGCAGGGTAAATTTCTGCATTTACACACTTCGCGAAAATGTAATTTTAGGTGGCAGTATGACACGGCAAAGTACTGTGGCATGTCTCCACTGACGGAGGCGCATTGACGGCTGGTCGTGGGCGCGCTACAATAACCATGTTCTACAATTTGAAAACCTTTTTTTAGGGTGCTTTCGGTGTGCCTTCTGTCAAAGGAAAAGCGCCCTCCTAGTGAATAGTAAAAAAATCTTGCATGTAAGAAATTTAGGTGTCCAATAAAAGCATATGACCAAATAAGATCATATAAAAACCTTATAAAAACGTATAAGAACAATAGAGGAAATATATAAGATTATATAAGACGTTTTAAGAAACTGAAAAGAAGTTTCTTATAACTTCAAATATAATTTTATATTGTTCTTATATGTTTCTATAAGGTTCTTGTAATTTCTTATATGATCTTATTGGATCATACGCGTTTGTTGGACATAAATTTTTTTTATACATTTAAGATTTTTTTTACTAGGGAAGCTCACTCAGCATGGTGAGCGACGCGACCGTCCTTAGGCCTAACCACTTTCACGATTTCACTGTCCGAAAGCACACTACAGATGACCGCGTGTTTGTTGACATCAATGCATTCGGTGGGCGAAACATGTCCAACGCTGGGCAATTCCTCGACTCCAGCTTTGTTACGTGTATGCGCCGCTCGGTTTCACTCTTGATCACATCCGCAACTACACACTTGCAGCCATGAAAGCATGTACCGCTATGCTGTGCCTGGTTTGAAGTGGCCTGGCCGTTTGGCGGCGAAAGAAAATTGGCTTGATGGCTAGCCGAGTTGGACGTAGTTTGAGACTCATGGAGCGAGTAGACACGGTAAATAAAAACATTCTAAAAACTTCTCAGGTGTTCCTCAAGCTTTGAGTACTGTGACCTATTTAAAGCTTGAGTAATTAACATTCACCTCTAAGCTGACTGTGGTGGTAACTACGCACCCACCGGATCAATCAACCACCTCTCTCTCGTTACCTGACCCCGCCTTCTGCACATGGTTATGGGCGGGAGTGTAACACATGGCGAAAGGTAGACATATGACTGGTCCAACGAGCATGTAGCTTCTACTACGATTTCAGCTGGTCATTCAACAGAGTATAGTGATACAGCACAAAAAAATTTGTGCCATTTCAGAATGTCTGAAGGAGAACACACCCTCAAACATCCTTAAACTGTAGAGAGTTTCCTGCAAAGCCACTCGATTTGATTGGCCAAGCAGTAAATAAAAGGTACACTCACCAAAGCACTGTGTCGCCCATGATAAGCCTGCAACTCCCTTCAATAATTGGGAAACAACCAAAAAGCCACAAAAATGTAACACTGGATCCTGAAACAGAAAAAAAACAGCAAAATGCAGGAATTAACACAATATACAAACCGCTTCAGCGAGTGACACTTAAAACTAGCTACAGTTCTTTGGGCACCGTCTTTTTATTACAGATAATTGTGAGTGAGGACGTGCTGTCATTATTTTTTTAGCCCTGTAAACCTTTCCCATTTGAAGGTCTCCGACGTCGGTTTCGCAAACTTCATAAAATCTGCCATTGCTCCATTATCAAGTTCTAGAGCAAGTGACAAGTTAAAATTTCAATGGTGGAGGCTCACAGACATTAAGCACCTGCTTCAAGCCCCTCGGCTGTCGAGAAAACACTATGTCAACCGCTCCGAAACATATGTTTTGTGCAGAAGAGAGATTGAAGTATGCTACTGAATCAGTAGAACTACATCATATTCATCAACCATTGTTAGCCGATTCACTATGCGACTCATCGTGAAAACGAGACTTGGACTTGGCCAGGGCAATATGTTTTACAGAGAAATGTTTACCGATTTGACGGACGCTGTCATTTTATTAAGCAGCCTTATATATTTGCTCTTTATGAAGCAGATGAAGAGGAGCAAAACACAAATAGTGCTTGATAGGACAAGCGCTACTTGTGGTTCTTCAACTTGTCCTCGTACTGCCATTTGTGTATCACTATTGTTTGAGCAACTTGTCAAGCGGTTCAATTTAGTACCCGTGAAGCAGCTTGTCAGTGGCCTTGTCACTAAAGCAGGGAACATGCAGACAACAAATCACTTTGATGGTGATGACCACAACATTTTCATGTTATCTCAGAAAAATCGCCCCCCCCCCCCCCCAAAAAAAAAGCTGATCCTGCACTTATGTTGCAGAATGTGTGCATCGTCTGACGGCAGAGACTGGAGGGTCACACTGCAGTTCTCTTCGTGCGTTACACTCCCAGTTTCAATGCGGTGACCAATAAATGTTTCGGTGATGCAAAAAATAGAAAGAAAAAAAAAGACATTGCTCTGAATATTTTGTTGTTCCCCTTACTTAACTTATCAAAACTAATTTCCCGTTAATTGGACCTCAAGATAAACGTGACACGCCGACCTATTAAGGATAACAGCAATCCCGTCCTCGTCAAATTAACTGAGGGCAATAAAAAAAAACAAGGAGGTCATGCAATAATTGTATAGGGGAATGGCAACGGTCCCAGGAAGATATGCTTCAGTTTGTGCAGTATCATTGATTTGCTCATTAGACAAGTGTCATCAGCTTTGGCCACTGCTCATGCATTACATTTTAGAGTGAAGCACACTGGCAATGACATGTTTACTCCATGACATGCCAACCTTTTGCTGGGTTCCCAATTATCCTGAATAACACAAAAAATTGCAAATAATAGAAGCAGTTAGATCAATAGGTCACAAAAATCTATGTGAAACGAGCAGTCTAGATCAGTGCATGCAGGGTGACTCCATGTGGGGCTGTATAGGAGCTTTACAACTACCCCAATAGCTTGTTAAATCAAACCCGATTATCCTCTGCTAAATGTGTGAGCTACATGGTCTTGGTAGACAGTTCAAATTCCTCACTTACCCCGCATATAAGTCCTAGAGTTGTATTCACACTGCTTGCGTTTGCTTTGGCCTCCACCCCCCCACCCATTTTCTCCCACACTAGGTGGCAGAAACACTGTTCTTATTCTGCATGTGGCTGATTATTAAAAGCCTTTTGGCTTTTCAATTTAAGTAAATGCACATATTGAAAAGGAGCTTATTGCCTAGTAATCAGGTCTACGAGAAAATTTTGAAGTGTAGAATATATGAAGTTTGCTAGACCTATGGCGGACAATATTTTCCCTCCAAATCAAAGCAGCACCAAATGTGTCAGCCATGTGCCCATGACAACTTCAGATGTGACTAATGACAAATGCATAAAGCATATGATAATTACAGAACGACCCGATACTATGACCCAGAAAGTTGAACAAGCTTACGTGAACACGCTTACAAAAAGATATCTAGAATGCCAAAGAATCAATGGAAATAAAAATAGGAAGACTTGACTGATCCTCTCTGAAGTCCCGATCTTGGTATCAATAGCATGCATCGATGCTTACAATCATGCTCTGCGGTGTGGCCAGAAAACACACCTGAGTGAAGCTCCCAATCATTATGCTCTTAGGTGGACAAAAGGCTCACTTCAAACAGCTTTCAGCAATAAAAAAAAAAGCATGCCAGATACTAACATAACATGGTTTCCCCAAAAATAAAACATATAAATCTCCAACATCTTTAGGGGCTAAGGAAACAACCAAGGACGCACAAGAATGAAGCACCTCATCCCAAAGCGAATGGAACGCCAAGGTGCAAGACTGACTGCAAAACACATCGCTCTCCTAAGCAACTAACACTACTTACAATTTTTTAACACCTTCCTGGTAAACTAAGAGCGGGAATATTAATTATAATTACATGTGGTGCATCGCCTTCAGGATTGCTGGATGATGTGAAACTCTGGAAGATCTTCAAGATTAAAGTGAGCAGAAATTTTTTACTTGGCCTGAAAATGTCTCATACTTTGTATCTTGTTCAGAGTTAAGCAATAACACCATAGCTATCTACTAACACATTACGCCTAGAAAGTATCACCTACGTAAGACAAGAATGATTCAGACACTACCTATTAGCGCCATTTTGTAAAAGAGATTTGCACAGTCTGCTCACTTTCCATGTGGCACACCCATGAGTTCTTTCGCCGGGCAGATGTGCCAGACGCATATTAAATCTCTCACACCGGCCTCCATGTCCACAACAAGGCTCTAACATTTCAGAAGTGTGGTCACGTGGCCATGCCCCTCTGCAGATTGACTGCTGTGGTGACATGCAGCTCAACAGCGGTGGACTTCTCCTACTAGAACCTCAACATGGAAGGAACGAATTCCCAAGGGCTACGGCAGAATGTGCGGAACTTGAACTGACCGGCTGTGGCAGCAAACCCTCTCCAAGTTCCAGCCACCATTTCAACAGGGACGACGGGGAGCACAGGCTTTGTCAGTAGCGACGGCACCCCCACGAGCCAAAGTCCGTGGCAGCACCTGCGACAAAGAGCCCTTGCATAATCCCTGTCACCACTCCGGCTGGGATCCCAGGGAGCACAAATGATGGCGGTGGAGCCACCACGAGCCAGAGCTATATGGCAGCACCTGCAGCAGCGAGGCCCCCACGAGTATACCACTCACCATCTTGAATGGGAACTCGGGGAGCGCAAGCGCTGGGAGGTGACGACAGCGCCACCACCAAAAATGATGTGGCAGCACAAGAACCAGGTTCTGATGACAACAGGCGCTGACATCCAAGTCAACTTGGTGGCTGTCCAACCAAACAGACGTGACGCGTACCTGAGAAGGCAAATAATGTTTTGTAGTGATCGAAGTGGCCAAAAAGTTTTTAAGCGAAACTCAGCATTCAACTCTAATGATGAGCCACGCTGTTTCGACTATGATCGACATGTCTGCGAATCGCTCTAAACCGCAGAAGTGTGAAGGCTGCATCAATTTTAATGAACATGGACAATTAATGGACCATTTTTGTGTGCAGGCAACAAACTGTCAGCGAAAACAGTGATGAAAACTCAAGTGAGTTACTCCGACACTGCTAAATAAATAGGACAGCTTACCATCATCTCCTATTGATATCTGCCATTAAGCCTGTACCTCGGCACTGTAGGTGATGTCAGTGGTGTCCGTCTCAGGGAACTCAAACTAGTAGTTCACTGAGCAACTCCTCCTTGACCAGGCCTGCAGCGATTATAAATATGAAGAACAGATATATTACGTTACATAAATGACACAAGATAGAAAAGGCACAGACAGTACCATACCTTCCAAGTTTGGGGACACCGAATTCGGGATAATTTCTAAGCAGGGGAGGGGGGGGGGGGGGGTGTTTTAAAAAGAAATATTGGGAACAAATTTGCATGAAGACAACTTCATTATATTTATATATTGCACTGCCTATGCTCATGGGATTGCAGCCGTCCACAGTGATGGCAAAAACTCTTTAGTACAAAAGAGAGGGGGAGGGTAATTTCTCTTTTCGGGAAGTTTTTCTGTCAATCATACAAACTGATCAAAATTTAAAAGACTTCTGGGTAATACGGGGAAGTTGGCAGGTGTGCAATACTAAACAGACACAATTTGCTACCGGCAATGGCAAAAGAGAATGCAGGTTGGATCAGCTATGCATAAAGGTATACGCACTCCGGAATGCACTTCGGACGGAAATGGCTATACGCACTCCGCTTTTCTCGCATAAAACGAGTGGTCACAACGAATTTTCTAAGCGGAGGCATGGCATAGGGGTCAAGGTGTCCGCTTCATACGCAAGTGGACGCGGATTCCATCCGCAGTAGGCCTGCTTTTTTTTCTTCTTTTTTTTTTCTCAAACATTTTGTTTTGTCGAGGCATTTGGCGATATTTAGGACATTTTTTTTTTTTTTTTTTTGCGATAAACAGTAAAGAAAAAAAAAAATCGAGTGTTGAGAAACTTTGCAAAACTAAATGGTATGGGACTCCCTTTCGAGGTGCGATCGGGGACAGCGGGGCTTGGATTGCCGGCAGGACGCCGCGAAGCGGCGTGTACTGGTTACGATTTGTAATTAGCAGCCGATACCGTCGCCGCGAAGCGGCGTGAACGCAGGTGGGGGGCTGTGTTAACGAGCTCCCCAGTGATACACGCGCCGTTCTAAAAGGGTGGCCCGAGCGGCATGATCTCTCGGAGGAGTGCGTATAGCCATTTCCGTCCGAAGTGCACTCCGGAGTGCGTATAGCTTTACTCTCTCTATATATACATATGGTGCAGTAAATCAAACGGCTCCAACCACAATGTTTTCTTTTTTTACGCGTTTCGCTCGCGTCGCTTGAGATCACCCACAGCGATAAGACGCGCGGGCCGACAAAGAAACCTGGCCAGTACAGATATGGGTAGGCAGCGATGCGTGCCGACGCGAAGTGACGACCCACGTGCGATAAAACGTTTGACACGTCGACCGACGTGTTGGGTGACCGAATCATGGTTTCGCGATTAGAACTCGCAACCCGTCGGACGGTTTGACGAAAAGCGCGAGGAGAGATGCTCGCCTAAGGAAAATACCTGTCAGAATACACTTCTCGGGCGCGATTAGGCAAAGGCAGGGCAAGGAAACAAACCAAGGAGATGCTTGAACGGAAGCTTAGGAGGACACAGAGAAAAAAGGCTTACCTTCGAGAAGCACCGAGGAATGAGCCAATTGAGCAGTGCCCATAACCTCCAGGGCTGTTCATCCTTGCTCGCGTGGTGCCTCGCCACTTATTAGTCGCAAAATCCATTTTCGGACGCGGCATATCGGATCGATATGAGTTCCACGTAAAAATAAAAGACACACCAAACCGCAACAAATCTTCGGAGACTTCGACGCAAATGAAGTTCAGGGTGGATTGGATTGGCTTGTAAACGACTTTGTTTCGAGGTGCATAATAAATGCGAAAATAAAAAAAGTTAACGTAACATTATTCGTAAAACAGTGGCGAACCGAAATAGTAAAACGTTTTAACAAACTTAAAAAACTAAAACAAATGTATTAAAATAAAAGTTTTATACGCGATACGAAACTTCGCTTAGCCACACAACTACGACGGGATTTCAGTTTCGGTTTGGAATCGGAGGCTGCGTATTTTCGACGCCGATTGGATATCCAGGGGGCGTGGACAATGGCGTCATGGACGTAAAAATAGCAGCTTTTATTTTGAAAAAAAATTAAAAACAAAACGAGCGTGTTGGTAACGGGAAGTCTTCGTTGTCCGTCCCCCCTTTCTTTTATTTTGACATCTTAGTTATTTCTACGTCAACAACACGTTTTCTTTGGATGCCGCTGACTGCATTGTGAAATGTCGGTAGCTCGGCGTGTGTGTGGCCGGGTGCTCGGCTCGGCGGTGTCCGCGCTGGTGCGTGTTGTCAACATTGCCGCCTGTACTCGTCGCGTTCTCAGGAACATCAAAATAAGCGTTCTCCATTTCCAAATTTCGCCCGGTGCCGTCCGTCACTCCTGTTGCAAATGAAGATTACGTGTACCGGAGGCGACAGAGCCCAGCCGCAGTAATTTCGTACGCATTTTTCTGAAGCTGTACTTGTGTGCAATACGACGGATTGTCACCCTTGCATAGAATAGCTGCGAAGGCCGTGCAAGCGGCGAGCGAGTAGCCTTGACTGGCATGACTGCACCCGCTGCAGGAGCGCTCGTGCCGCGCGATCCAAAGCAACGAGCTCGCGCTTTTAGCACTGTCGTCGACAGCATTTTATTTTCTTTTTTTCAGTGTTAGTCATAAAAAAGAAATGTCGTAAATATAGTCAAATAACAAAACAAAATTTCCGAAAAAAAAAAAAAAAAAAGGCGGCCGAGGCTGAGGTTTTTAAGGGTCTATGAAGTAATTTTTTTTTTTATTTATTTGTTTGCCAGTTTTTTTGCGCCCCTCTTTGAGTACTGTCGCATTTTTTGTATTATTTTCACGTTTATTTTTCGTTGGTTTTACTTCGGATATTATTTGCATAAGCATTTTTGAGCTGACTTCGCACCTGTGGATATTGTCATGATGGATTCGGGAGCCCATATTCGGGTCTTCTTTTTTTAGTTTGAGCCATTGTAATTTCAACTCACTGTAAATAATTTAGAAAAAAATGAAACGTTTGTCTGTAAATATGGTTGTATTAGCGCGTGTGGATGTAGAATGTAGTCATATATTAACACTATTAAAATATTCAGATATAGCTAATTGTCACATTTTTATTTGCCTGGCTAACAAAGGTGTGTCAACCAATTTTATTTTAGTGATCTGGTGTCTTCGTGTATATAAACTAATTTATTATTATTTCTTGAAAATATAAGAACGTAGGATTTCATTATCCCAAATTGTTAACTTCTCTCATTAATTTAAGAAAATTTACCAAAAAAATGTACAATTCGTGACATATATTCGGCGATTCAAACATTTGGGCAAGGAATGAAGAAATGCGTTGCATGCTTAACATGTTGTTTGAAGTTATATAGACGAAAATGGTCGCTCCCAGAAATAAGTAATTGTAAAGTAATTGCATTACTTTTTGATGTAATTTGTAAATGTAATGAATTATTTTTCACATAGTAGTAGTTGTAATTATGGTTAAACTACTTTTGGAGCGAAATGATTGTAATTGTAATTAAATTACATTTTGGAAGAAGTTGACCATGTATGGTTTTCTTCAATTTGCCGCGGAACACAAGAGCCAATTGAACCTCTAGCGTATACTATAACTATGGTTTGTACCTAAAGTTTGATTTACTTGCAGCAGAATTTGGCCGGTATTGCACTGCCACCGGGGGCGCTTGATTGACAATAGGATGAGTATAAAAAGACGATACCCGAATTCTGTATTGACACCTGCCAATAAAAAGACTCTAAAGGGTTCTTTCGCCATTTGATTGCCATTGTAGCGCCTACCACGTCAGTGCCAAACTTCAATAAAGGGGTAATACCGTGTCCATAAATTTCAAGCGAGAGCAATCGAATGGCGATAGGGGCAATAGGATGTCAGTCAGATGTATATTGAATGGCGGAAGCCATTTTTATAGGGGAATACGTCGCTGACTCGTCGCTGTCGCCGTCGCTCGCTAAATCGCTTTATGCAGTTCAGCCTTTCTACTCACGCTAGTGCCGACCTGCATTACCCGCTGAGCCCAAGCAAGCGATAAGGGTATTCAAATATGTCACAACAGTGGCGTGCATTCGCTAAGAAAACATGTATCTGAAATTCCTGCAGTTTGACGTCGGGATCCGTTACCTGTTCCGCTGTCACCTTGGTGAAACGGTCACTAAAGAGAAACTAGTCAGTTTGTTTTATCAGAAAATATAAAAACCTTATCTAGCCACTGTTATGCAGAAAAGCACTTTGGCATTTCATATAAATAGTTTAGAATAAACTGAACACAATCGGTAACTTAATTTTCCAAGCATATTAATAAAAAAAAATCTTAGAAAACAATGTATTTTTAAGGTGTTTCAAATAAAAAAAAAACTGAAAGAAGAGCCTTAATTCAGCTGCACTATCACGTAAATACTTTGGGAAAAAAATATCTATTGAGAAGTAGGTTTTGCAATCTCTAATTTGCTTCTTTCAACTTTCCAGTTACTTTATGCGTACTTGCAGATTGTATCCTGAAAATCTAGACAAAATTGTATAAAAAGCAGCAGTCTATATAAAATTTATAGCTTAATTAAATTCACATTTGTTTGATAATGTTCAATCTTAAATATGAGTTTTAAATTTCACATCTATTATTACAAATGATTAAATTACATGCTGCTTGATGCATGCTGTGCCCCCCCCCCCCCTTTTAAATATATATATCCTGTATATTTGCCGGTTAGTTGTTGTTCGTGTTATTTGTTTGTTGTTGTACGTGTGTGAATGCATATGTTGTACCCCACTCCTACTTGGGCCTTCAATGAACTGTAGTATCCTCTAAATAAAATTAAAAAAACAAGTGAGCAGTAAAAATCTGGAAGACAAAAGTAAACACAGAGCCGTGCAAAAAGGCATTCAGTATATGAAACAGATACAGATATGGGCCTCTGGTGGCCCATCGGTTCAGCCTCCACACCGCGCCTAAAGACGGCAGTGTTGCAATATTACGAACCAGCGCACAGGTAGACAGTTACCCAAGATCCAAACACAAAAAACTCACATCAGCACTGTGCGAGAGTATATTTTTGTGTATTTGGATTTTGAGTAACTGTCTACCTGTGCGCTGGTTCGTAATTATGCTGTACCAACTCGCCCAATCTGCCGTATTAATAGTGTTGCAAAATACTTAGATCAACTATAATGTTAATGACTGCAGTGTATAAAAGCAACCTACTCATCGGAATGAGCTTGACGGTACAAGAATAAAGAGAATGTTTTCACAGTTAAACTTAGAGTCTGTTGCACCGTCTCTTCCGTCCTTAAGATCGAAAGTGCTACAAATTGGTGACCTGGACATGATGATTGACTCCGAGCACCTGCTATCCAGGGAAATGTTCTTCGTGGCCAAGAGCACGGCAACGGCTCTGCCTTTTCGGACGAAAATGCAGTAGGCACATATTCAACTTTCTCAGCCTCCACATCTGCAGCGCCTCCACAACCGCCTCTGCTCTGTCGCATCTAGCGCAGGCATCTCCCAGCAATGGGCTGCGACCACCTTGCTTGCTCCACCGGCTCGGCCAGTGAATATTCATCGACATTTTCACTGTTCACAAGGCATGTTGCTAGCCGACCAGGGTCTCCTCATCATTGCCACGTCAGGCATTCGCTCTCAGTTCGGTTCCTCATCTTAGGGGATGTTGCATCGGCCCCGCAGTCGGCCGGCATCCCCCTTTCAGTCCGAGGCTGTATACTCCAAACTGATCGAGCCGGACTGAAAGCACGACAGGGTCGATTTCCCCCGTCTGCTGCCTCATTTCCTGACCTCGGTGTCGACTACAATGCACGGCTTCCGAACGCTCCCTTTCCTGCTCTCTAGTGTGTCATCCTGCTTGCGGTACATGTCAACAGCAACGACACCTCTCTGGAGCCGCAATCACTTCAACAAAATCGTGCCATTCCTCACAGTGCAGAGCTGAGGGCGATAGCTCTGCGGCAGTCTATCGGTTCAGCCTTGGCATCGCCAAAGATGACAATGCTACTCATACTCGTTGCCACGAGCTCAACGACATGAGAATAAACAGAATGTTTTTATTGCTCGGAGTCGGTCGTATACTCTATAGGTAGTAAGACAACATCGTATACTCTATAGGTAGTAAGACAACATCGTATACTCTATAGGTAGTAAGCAAGAGACACACTTCAGAGGAAAAGAACAAATGCTCAGATGCCGCGGGTGTCCAAAATTATCCATCATGTTGAATATTGTTTTGGTTTTTTTTATTCTAACAGAAGACAAACATCATTATTGCGCAATCAAAATTAATACTTACGAAACACCGAAGTCGCAGTGTAAGTGCTCATCGCTGAGCTGCGGCTGTGGCATATATTTATTTAAAAGTGCACCGATCATAAAACCTTCAGGTTTGGCAACAATACCGAGATTACAACGCTTGTTACACTTTTAACAAAGAAGAGTTGTCCGTTATAAAATACAAAAGAAATAAAAAATACCGGAAACAATGCAAGGTACAAATCTGCACAACAGGCTTCCGAATTCAACTACTTCGTCGTACTGGAGTCTGTTACAGTAATAGCAGCTTTGGATGGGCTGTGAGGACAGCATTCGCACTGAACTGGGTGCCTTGATGACTATCACCAGTGTTGAGGAGTTGCCACTCCAGAGTTGGAACGATTCATTACTTCCACAACCCTGGAATCGAATGCAAATAAAATGGTGGCAGCACTGGAATGGAATGGGAATGAAATTAGTA